ATTTGAAATGGGGAGTGGGGTTATAAAAATGATGAGTGACTGTAGAAATGGACATTTGAAATGGCCACTTGAAATGGGAAGCAGGGTTATAGAAATGAAAATGGTTGTAGAAATGGACGTTTGGAATTGTCATTTGAAATGGGGAGTGGGGTTATAAAAATGATGAGTGACTGTAGAAATGGACATTTGAAATGGCCACTTGAAATGGGAAGCAGGGTTATAGAAATGAAAATGGTTGTAGAAATGGACGTTTGGAATTGTCATTTGAAATGGAGAGTAGGGTTGTAGAAATGAGGAACGGTTGTACAAATGGACATTGGGATTGGTTACTAAAATCAATCATAGAGACTGGTCACTAGAAAAGTAAATTGGATTGGTCATGAAAAATTAGACATCAAGACTGGTCTGTAGAAATAGCTATTGGAAATGATCACTAGAAAAGAACATTGGAAATGGTCACTAGAAATGGACATTGGGAATGATCACTAGAAATGGACATTGGGAATGGCCACTTGAAATGGGAAGCAGGGTTATAGAAATGAAAATGGTTGTAAAAACGGACGTTTGGAAATTGTCATTTGAAATGGAGAGTGGGGTTGTAGAAATGAGGAACGGTTGTACAAATGGACATTGGGATTGGTTACTAAAATCAATCATAGAGACTGGTCACTAGAAAAGTAAATTGGATTGGTCATGAAAAATTAGACATCAAGACTGGTCTGTAGAAATAGCTATTGGAAATGGTCACTAGAAAAGAACATTGGAAATGGTCACTAGAAAAGAACATTGGGAATGGTCACTAGAAAAGAACATTGGGAATGGTCACTAGAAAAGAGCATTGGGAATGGTCACTAGAAATGGACATTGGGAATGATCACTAGAAATGGACATTGGGAATGGTCACTAGAAATGGACATTGAATCTAGAGTTTGGTCACTAGAAACCATGATAGACAAGAAATACATGTCATCCATTCACAACTACTATTGTATAAAAGTAACACAAGGTGGTAACAACAGAACATCAGTATTCTCTTCTAGTATACACATTATATTAGTAATTCCACGACATCAACTCCATAGCATAAAATGACAAGACTTTCAACGAGTGATTAGCTTTACGTCTTTTCCAAAATACTCAAAGCTTGAACAGAATGATTAAGTAAATGTTTGGGTGATAAAACCAAATGATGCCTTTTTTTTTTGTTACAAAATCATAAATACACCAATTGACAATAAATTTTTGTTGATACTCTGATGACAATAAAAGACGTTATTTTCAGATATTTGCCCCAAATTGAACATCAACAAAAATTACTGTTAATGATGGTCACCGGAATAGTTGTTCACGGTATGCAAGTACCTAAGTCCATTTCCATTCTAAAAGAACCTGCAAAAGAAATTTTACTACCACCAAATGCTGCATTGTCATGTACCCCAAATATAAAACACGCATAAAGCCAAAAGAATGCATTGATTGTATACTGAATCATTGGAATACACCTTGATATTACCCTAGTCTGTGTCATTTATGTATTAGGCACATGTGTTGCATATGCAGTAATGTTGTCATCGCTTCTAAAATTGTTACATTGATTGGTATAGGGAAAGCACTGTCATGGAAAAGTGCACATACTGATTTTCTAGAAAAGGTATTTTCACACAGTAACATTTTAGTTCTATTGTTTCTCATCAAATCTCGGCAAGAATCAGATTAGACTTTGAGAAAACAATACATGTAGTTAAAAGCATTGAAAATCTGCTTTTATTTATTTATTTATTCTGCAAAGTGAATTATTGTTGATCACTTGATGGCAACATTTTTTCAATTGAGAAAACATGAACCATTGCTGATATATCCCATTGGGAATTCACCTGATAAGAGACTCAATAGCAAGCTAATTTAGACAATTTCCTCTCTTCTCCAACAGTAGACCTTTTGACAGCTCCCGAGTGTTTACATCATGACAGAATACACTGGAATTGACGAACCCTCACTACGTGAACGCTATTACAGTTGACTTATCTAAATTGAACAGTGCCGATAAACTTCCCATCATTCAGCATCAGGAAATGTTCTTAATTGAAAAGTGAAGCTAAGAAATTGCCAAACGACCCAATAAGCGGTTTAGCTGACCCTCAATGCTATATTACAACGCTTCACTCAATGTTTGTACATAGAACACACAATTTTGATGTCATTTCTCAGGTCTCACAACCATCAACAAAGAAAGATCTTATCTACTAAAATGTCTAATATAATTTATGAATGTGGTTTTTATCCATGCTTCCTATTAACCCTAGAGTTCACCTGTATATTGCTTAAACTTACAGACTCACCTGTCACGATTGCTTAATATCAACACCATATATACAAGTATCCTTATCTTATCTGTACTTATTCTGTTTTCTAATTGATTTTCTCTTAGCAATCTTTCTGCTGACATGATGTTATCTTGTCAGTTTGCATTCTAGTGTATTATACAACACATGAGGATGTCAGACCCATCAAACTTCATCCTCCACAGATCAGTCACATCGCCAACACACAAGTCACATTGTAAACATAACAGTCACATTGTCAATAAATAAGACACATCACCAACATAACTAGGTCTCATCGCCAACACACAAGTCACATTGTAAACATAACAGTCACATTGTCAATAAATAAGACACATCACCAACATAACATAGGTCTCATTGTCAACACATAACAGTCACATTGTCAACACATAACAGTCACATTGTCAACACGTAACAGTCACATTGTCAACACATAACAGTCACATTGTCAACACATAACAGTCACATTGTCAACACATAACAGTCATATTGTCAACACATAACAGTCACATTGTCAACAAAATGCAGTCACCACTTAGCCCCAGAAAGTGCAAAAAAACTTACCCATAAATGAAGACATACTACTATTATTAGAGTTCATATCATGGGAATATGACATATTATTATTAAGCTGCATTCGATTATCAGGCATATGATCATTGTAAGATGAACCTTCATATCCCTAAAATAAAACATAAAATAGAAATTTAGTATGAATGTCATAATTCACATTAAAACAGAATCATGGGCCTGTCAGTATACAATAATGTGTAGTGTATATGCCAGTACTGTACATAAATGATCTATCATGTCTATTACTCCAAGGAATAATTCCATTGGTTAGTGTATCTAAACATTTTAGGCACAATCAGGCAGATAGTTCTGGATTTTATTATACACCATGTAATGTCACCGATGAGTCACATGTCCTGGATATCAGTATTATACACCATGTAATGTCACCGATGACAGTCACATGTCCTGGATATCTGTATTATACACCATGTCATGTCACCGATGACAGTCACATGTCCTGGATATCAGTATTATACACCATGTAATGTCACTGATGACAGTCACATGTCCTGGATATCTGTGTTATACACCATGTAATGTCACCGATGACAGTCACATGTCCTGGATATCTGTATTATACACCTTGTAATGTCACTGATGACAGTCACATGTCTTGGATATCAGTATTATACACGATGTAATAATGTCACCGATAACAGTCGCATGTCCTGGATATCTCTATGTTAGGAATTTCATAAAACTACTAGTTCTATACGCCAGAGTCAATTAAGCGTGCAAGACAGTGTACAAGCCAGGACAACTAATGACAATGGGGACCTCTTTATATATACACAGTATAGGACTAGAGGGGGTTAGTTAGTGTTACAAATAGCCTCTCACTTTCATAATTCTCTGACGTTTTACAGCAGAATTGACCATGCTATCCAGTAACACAGAATGGATTCTATGCTTAGATAGCATGCATTACAGTAGACATTTCTTCAGTTGAACCATATATATGAAAAAGAATTTGATACATTGGGAAAACCTCTCAATTGGTCAAACTGTTTGGTGTTAGGATTGGGTAGCCAATTGGGCACCATCTTCTCAGTAGCTTCGCTCTGACTCTAAAAAGTGACATGCAGCCATGGCTCACTAGACATATTATATTAAGCTAACAAGACAAATTGGTGTTCCCACCCAGCTTTCCTAGCTGACCACCTATTTTGTTAGGGGAAACCCCAATTGAATTTTGAATTTAGATGACCTGTTTTTTAACCATTTAACAGTAATATAATTTTCTAACTAATAACAGCTGTAATACCTGCCTGGGGTGAAATATTAAAACAAGTTATCAAGTCCAAGAAGTAGCTCTATTAGCAACCCAACTACATTTGTTTTTAATAGGATGTATTTTTTGTAGATCTTCTTAAAATATCAAGATATAAAATCTTACTTTTTCACCAATTGAAATGTTCACCAACATTAACCAAAGGGCGATGGATGACGTTTTGACAGTTTGGTATCTCCTAGTTTGAAAGATTTCTGAGAATTTGAATTTGTGATTCTCAAAATTAAAATGGTCACTTACATGCATATATTATATCGATCAATTTGAACCTAACATGCCCAAATTAAATGTTTGTTTTTTTCACCAACATTAACCAAAGGGCGATTGGATGACGTTTTGACAGTTTGGTATCTCCTAGTTTGAAAGATTTCTGAGAATTTGAATTTGTGATTCTCAAAATTAAAATGGTCACTTACATGCATAAATTATATCGATCAATTTGAACCTAACATGCCCAAATTAAATGTTTGTTTTTTTCCAAAATCAGTATTTTCACTTGCATAAATTATATCACATGATCAATTTAAACCAATCATGCATTCATTAAATCTTTTTTTCCAAAAATCATGAAATAAAATCAGACTACAGTATTTTCACATGCATAAATTATATCACATGACCAAATAAACCAATCACACGTTGATAATCAGTATGGATTATAGGTTCTAAACATCAGATATTCGCTAATCGGACATCAATTTCACACATCTAGACATGTACATTTGGACTTTATATTCCATACACAAACTTTTGTTTCCTTTTTACATTTAATGGATGAGTACTTTTGTGAGGAGATCAGGCTAAATGACTAGTTTCACCAATTTACACACTCGTTTTGATTCACAGCCAGCCTTCAATGAAAACTGTGACTTGCATATCATCTGATAACATATTTTGAAGTACTGTACTTGAATACATATGGGGATTGCCATTTCATTTTACATTATATTTTACTTTCACAAGTTTCCTCTGAATAGTAATGAATGCTACACAAAAAATCTGCTAAAAAAAGTGTTGATGCAATTCAATTTTATTGAAGTAACATATTCACTGGGTTTTAATTTCAGTAATCAGGAAATAATTAAGTTTGTTATAGTAATAATAATTTTTTTTTTAAATTAACTTTTCTCTAAAATATTATCTTTATAATTAATTCAGAATGTTAATTATTGTAAAGTTACAATGTTTCTGTAATAAATTGGCCCTCCACGAGCTTCAGAACGTTTCGGAGATGTATTTGTATGAACCAATCAGAGAGCTACTATGGGTTTACACCAAGTGTAAACAGGTTGTTCGTTTTGTTTAAAAGTAAAACAGTCACTGTGCAACACACCTTTAAATTTGCATAACTGTATTTTACGTGCGTTGCGTTGATTCAGAGAGACGATTGTGAATTACAGATATAACAAGTCCTGGCTTCAGAAGTAACATAGTTGATTCTAAATTTTTATATATTTTCAGGTAAAGTATTAACTTTCAACAAATCCTATTTTGCAATCTGTATAGCACAACGTCGTCAACGGCTATGTGAGTTATGCTGATACTGGTACAAGCGTGAATATATCTGATGGACAGAGCTGACAAACAACTTTTCCGCTTTTTATTTGAATAGCAAAAAATGATTAATACCCTGGATGTGTTTTGATAGCAAACATACTAGATACAGCTAATTCAAATCACAAGACTTGCAATTAACACCAACATCGGTGATTTCAAGAAATATTTTTACAAAGCTGTTGATCAATTTATTTGTGATTTCACAAAAAAAAAGTATTTTGTACCTTTGGGCTAGAGTCTAAGTGACGTTTGTTTAATGGTGACCTTTGTGAATGCCCACGATTTATCAAATCGAAAAAATGTCCAGCATTTAAAATTTACTGATTTATAGTTATTTTGAGGTATCTCCCCAGACAAATGATCATAGGATAACAATCTTCTAAATGTTGTTACGATCATCAGGTTACAGACTAGACTCGCTAAAAACATAATGTACATTTCCTTCTCGTTTACTGAATGACTCTGGGATAACGTAAATCTAAATTGCGCACTCATTTAAACAATATTTTATCTCAGTTCTGTCTTGAGATTTCTATACTTGCAGGGAAGATAATAGCAATATAAATGGAAATCGATGAGACACACATACACTTAGGACTTAGGAATAGAAGAACCATGTTCGTTTATGACAACCCACCCTCAGCCAATCCCAAAAACCCTTCTTGCTGCCTCCATTCCTCTTCCATATAATGCTGATGTCAGAAAATCAACAAAGAATAACATGCACCTTACATGCTTTGCATTGAATAAATAAAATATTAAGTATTATGAATTGGATGCAAAAAAAATAACATTTTTAGATTCTGGAATCAAATCAAGAAACTTTATCACCAGGAAGGGCAAGATAGAGAAAGTTTGTCCTTAGTCAATTTCTATATCACCTTTTGCAACCAGAACGACTTTACTTGAATGCATAGTGTAACAAGATATCTAGCTGGACATTTCTCAGCGGCCATATATCTCATACTATAATACAACACTGATCTGCTCATAAAAATAACATTCATTTTTTATGTGTCCTCCATGGTTTCACCGACTTAGGGAGCATATAGCTACTTGCTGTAAACTAGACATAATACTCATACTTCATACCACTGCAATGTTACTTGTTCATTTGCAGTGTAAATTACCATCATACCAAACAGTGAGACTCTACCGCTCACTGCAACAGCGTCATGTTATACGAAAGCGTGAATTCTCCACGTTATTTTAATTGTATTAGTCACAGTATGTTATAAGCAGCGATAAAACTATTCCACTACGAGCAGGGTTTCACTACAGCACAGCAGGTTTTCTTTTTTGCTTTGTATGATAGCATAACAACCGGAATTTCAAAACAGTGTATGAAAGAAGAGGATTAACCATACAGCAATAAATTCATGGGTTCAACATAAACAACGCAATTTTTATAAATTTTGATTGTTTTTAAAAATCTATTTTTCCAGTCAACCTAATCCAACTACGTGAAGACACTTTTCGCAATCAAAATCGCATCCCAAATTGCATTTATATCACCTCCCAGCAATCGACACCAAAGAAATTGTTGTTCATCGATTGGAGGAACACAAACACAATTTGACTGAAGGTCTTTGATGGCTACTTGATGAGATTAAAGTAAATTCCATTACATGCCTGTCGATCAGGTTATTGTTTGAAAAAAAAAAAAACACTTCATTTGCGGTCATCATTCTTAATCCGGCACACTTTGAGCAAACCACGTTATTCAGTCGTCTTCTGGTGAATTGAAAGCTATATCTATTGCAGGATGGCAGGTTAGGGATTATGTCGGATAAGCTCATGGTAGAAGAAAGAAGAGAGGCAGAGTTTGGGCAGGAAAAGATTTAAAGTTCAGTTAGGGAGAGAAGTGACGACGAATTATTCCTAATGATGAGCGCGCTTGGATAAACCATCTTTAAGGATTCATCCACATTATTATTGTTGACATGCTCACAAATTGAAACCAACTTAACAAACACTACGAATTCTATAAAGCTCCTTTCAATCTTTCATCTAGTCTTTCAATATTTGCATGTAATTTATTATTTCCCTGGGAAAAAAAATCGTTCTGGAAATAAATTGTAAGGAAACATAATAACCATGCAGGTTGTACAGAGAAAGGATGAAATTAAAAGCTCCATCTTTCCATTGATATCACAGCCTGTGTGTGTGCCTTGGGGCAAAGCAGAGAATTGAATTCGCTTGCCTTTCAATAGAAATATTGCCATTTTCAAATGGAAGTCCTTTGTTAGTAGGTGATGGCAATATAGTATATATCTATACGACATTATCTCAGCAACCCAACACTTGGGAGAAACTATGATAACTGTCTCTACAAATTCCAATACATTATTCAGTCTGCGCAGAAAGAGATGATTCTTTGATTATTTATTTGTGTAAAATTAGCATGTGTATTATGCGAATTCAATGTGTATTTTGCCTTATTTAGTTATTTCAATGCCAACTTTTGTTATATTTCCACAAAATTAAACCTAAATAATATTTTTCAACATTTTTTTTATTGAATTTTGATTAAAACCAAATTGCAAATATTTTTTTTTTTTAAAGTCAAAATTTTTTTATAATTTTTGATGGAAAATTATTATTGTACCAGTGTTATGGTTTTTACAAAAATTAGAATTTACAATAACATTGTTGATACTTTTGATAATCTGAGCCACTGAATATCAATTTAACAAGTGCCAAATCCGCAAAAATTAAATAGTTGCTATTTTAAATTATTTCAACAAATGTACAGTATTTTCTCTATTAGTATTGCTTATGTAAATTGGCAGAGGTGTCTGAGGCCAAAACAAGTCACATGTGTAAATTGAAGATGTGTTTGCATCACAGCAGATTCAGTAAGTATAAATGAAATCAACTTGTATTCAACAATTCTCCCACAATGCAATTCACTTCCTGTCACAGAAATACTCATGTTTCTACATTTTTTGTTACAATCTACAAGTTTTGCTGTGCTCACTAAAATATCAGATTTATGGATCAGAACTTCAAGAATAATGTTGAGAGGAAGTCAAAAGAGCTAATGGTGGGGAAGTCCATCAATGTAAATAATACCCCCTAGATTTATAGGACTCTACCCAGGACCCCCTAAGATTTATTAAAAAATAAATTTTCATTTTATCAGTGTATGTTCCAGTGCCAATATATCGACACTAAACTTTAATGTTATGACTGTGCAAGTGGGAAAAAATGCTTAAAACTTGTGATAATACCCAGAACACATCTTAAATGAACTGGTATGCTGTTTTTATTTTGTTTTAGACATAAAACTTAACTGCAACTATTAGAGGCATTATTAAATTTATTATCAAAACCTTAAAAAAAAAATCTCAAACAGCAAGTGATAGGAGTGTACAAGTTCATGCCAAGTGACATATTGAGTGTTTATCTAGTGTGCAACAAACTCAAATCTCTAGCTTTGATTTATTTTACATTGGTTTATTAAAGAAGATATAAAACACTACAAGTTTCATTTCAGTGATATCCTGGCAGGCTCAGCCAATTACTTTTATGGTGTACATGCATACCGTGAAGTACTTGGATAGACAACTTGATATACTCAAACCGTGTGTTAACTGCTGGGAAGTAGACCTACAAAACCCATGTCATTGATGTACTGGTGCATGCACCATAAGGTAAATATTACAAGAGATCTCAAATAATGCTACCACAGTCTCCCATACTTCAACAGTCATCTACGTTTGCAGCCGAATCAATGTTCACTACGGCAATCTTACAGTATTAATAGTCAATTTTACGTGTTAATTGTTCATGCACAGACTGTAGACGTGTAAGGTTACTACAGTTATTTTACCAGTGGAAATCATAGCACTCATATGGAATCCTTGGTAATGGTAGTTCCATGGAATCTACGTTCATCACAGGTACTCGAACTCGTACAGAATAGCATACAGAATGATATACTATGAGAATAGAATAGAATGGAATAGAATAGAATAGATACTATGTGTACAGAGAGGTATCTAATATTCCTATGTTATCCATCAGCAATTCTTCTCCAATAGAAGTGCATATGTAAACCAAAAAGGTCAGTTTAGTTGTTGTGAAACGAACTAACCCAATACTGTCACTGATTTGACAGGGTGTTTTAAATAACGCTTCCAATAAAGCAAATATGCCAATGATACTCCTATGTAATACCATGGCAGGTGTGCTATATGGACATCCCATAGTGAACAATATCAGATGTGTCACTGTGAGCTGCTCGTATACATATCTTTGTGTATTACATATAAACAGATGTTTGTGAAAACTACAATAAATTTGACGTCGGCATAGAAACAGGTTGCTAATTAACTGGGTCACATTCATGAATATCATCTGCTGAGTTGCAAATAGATTCAACATAGTAATGACAGTGAAACCTGTGTAAACTGAACACTGGCCAGTTTACAGAGGTATTTCATAAAGTGAAACCTGTGTAAACTGAAAAATGGCCACAGTTTACAGAGGTATTTCATACAGTGAAACCTGTTTAAACTGAAAAATGGCCACAGTTTACAGAGGTATTTCATACAGTGAAACCTGTTTAAACTGAACAATGGCCACAGTTTACAGAGGTATTTCATACAGTGAAACCTGTGTAAACTGAAAAATGGCCAGTTTACAGAGGCATTTCATATAGTGAAACCTGTGTAAACTAAACAATGGCCACAGTTTACAGAGGTATTTCATACAGTGAAACCTGTGTAAACTGAAAAATGGCCACGGTTTACAGAGGTACTGTGGAATACTTTATTTTCGCTGGAATTAATTTTCGCTGAAAAGGCTTTTTGGGCGTTCTTTATGGAATTTATTTTCACTGATTTTTGATGAGTTGAATGTGAAATATAGGAAAAAAAGTATATTCGCTGGATTTTATTTTCACGGAATCATCCCTTCAGCGAAAATAGCGGAAATAAATTCCAAGCGAAAATAAAGTATTCTACAGTATTTCATACAGTGAAACCTGTGTAAACTGAACAATGGTCAGTGTATAATGGTTTTACATATAAATAATTTGGAGAAGAAACTGTACACATACTGTTTATATTTCAACAATATTCAGACACATTATAATGTGCAGTTTAAAATGAAATTTTATATTTAGATCGTAGCAAAATCAACTAGCAGACTACCAAAAATGTAAACCACAAAAATGTTCGGGAGAACACAGGAAGCAAGAAGATTACTTACCCGCGAGTCATAGCTAGGACTCGGGTGACTGTTAGAACCCCATGAACCCTGACCCTCTTCCATTCCTGCAATAAAAAAAAAAAAAAGAATGGTAGCATTACATGTGGAATTACAGACAGTATTGGCAACTATTGATCATAATGCAATGTATTATAGATTGAAACCTATACTAGAGTATGAATTACAAGTTGCTTGTTCGTTGAAAATGTCAGACTGATAACAAATATCATTGAAAACAGATCAACTTTGTTTCTGATGTACCCAAGTGATTTCAAAATACCGTAGATTATTAGTCTTGTTTGGATAAAAAGAACTGCAAAGATAAGGTATTTCTTTTTTGTTTTTTTACAGGTGAAACAAATACTGTAGATGCATTAATTTAAAGATATTCTTGGAGCGAACATCCAGGCATTTTCTCCCAAAGGATGAAAACTCTCTGAAAACTGCACTGTAAAACTGCAGACTCCCTTGAATAGTGTAACAAGGATTACCCCTACGTGTGCAACATATATAAATTTGGTTTCTCAGGATTACTTCAAAGTTGCATTTGTGCTGTTTGCTAACAGAGAGCCCATGGAAATACATGGTACAGTCGTGCATGTCTCAGTCTGTGACGTAGCTTGGCCCCCAAAAAACAAACTTTTGTGAAACATCACGACTTGAAGTTTAAACTGCAAGAATGCTTATACAAATTCAAGGAAGCAAAACTTGATAATTGTTATTGGGAATGTAACAACAATTGAGGTTGACTTATTTGGGATAAAATTTTTTAATATGACATAGGTCATACGACATCTAGACTATGAATAGTGCAATGCAAGTATAAAGTCTGACAGGTCTATAGCGACTATGCAGTACATCAAAGTATTTGCAACTAAGGTTATGACCTCGTGGAGTCTGGATTAGAAAAGATCTACCAATGGCCAGTTCTAGCAAGCTAACAGATCAAGAGGATTAATAAACTGACCAATCACATCACAGGTACCATTATTTTGGTTTCTTTGATGTCATGACAATCATCTAATACCGTTATACGAGGCCAATTTAGAGTTAGTGCAATAGTGAAAAGGAAATTTGATTTCAAACTGCCGTATTTTTTTATGACAAATGCTAAAATTTATGCGACTGTTTTGAATTCAAAGGGAGATTATTGACTAAAGACTGGACCTTACAATTACTCACTGATGCAAATTTGTTGAGATTGTCTTTTTGACAAGTTTCAGGGTCATCTTGACACCTTTCCACAATGAAGGTGTGAAAATGAGTGTTTTATGACTAGTACTAAGTCAATGAATACTACTTAATATGGCTCCCATTGAGAAGAAGCCACCCATGTTACAAGTATTCAGATTTGACCTTGTCAGATCTTCTCTTGTCTTTATTCCAGAATGAAGATAACTTCACACTGCTACCCCGCCTCGCCCAACTAAATCCCAACACCCTCAACCACATCCAGTTAGAGCTTTCTGCACCATATCAGATGAAGTCACTTTATATAACGTTCACTACAAATACCCAAGAAAGTCAACTGGGACAACACCTTGTAATATGAGCTCAGAAAATACTAGCTTCATCTTGGGTCAGATTAAGCCCCAGCAACTCTCTTGGATTAACTTGAGAGACACACTAAGAATAATACTGCAAAACCAGTCAATTACCATCAATATACATTTCCTGATGTGATTATTCAAAGAATCTTTGTGAAAACCAAAGTCCCTGCAAAAATTTGCTTGAAAGAGGCTCAAGCTGAATTTGAAATGATATTTCATTTTATGAATAATTTCACTATTATAGGATCATCAGGATGCTGAAAAACAACAAGAATCGAAGTCACCAGAAAAATGTTCAAGGAATTGTTCCAAAATGTCTTGTGAAATTGTCAAATTTTGCCCTTTTGCACTTATTTCTATGGTCAAATTACTTCTTCATATCTAGAGATGTTGCTCAGTGACAAAAATGAAATAGTTTTGTATCAATATAGTCCCGATGAAGACAAAGATAATATACATGTCCAAACTTAAAATAAGAGAAATACATGTCCAAACTTAAAATAAGAGAAATACAGTAAAAACTTTTAAGTGCAGATGGTTGTAGCAAACTTCAGGGCAAATACGAGAATGATAAGTGTTGCTTGAGTACAGTTCAAAATTGTCTTTTATTTGCATTTAAATGAAGTCAAGTTCTGTGTTAAATTGGACCCCTATGACAAGTTGTTTTGAATAGAAGTTAACCATATGGTTTACTGAACAGACAAAGCCATGGTAGGGAGTGGTTGACAGTAAGTATTTCAGAAAGCCTCGGCTTTTATCAACTCCTTCAAAAGGCTTTAAGAAAATATTTTTATATATTTTCTGAAATGATAATGCTCAATTTTGAATCACTTTTTATTTTTCATGATGAGAAGCAAACTTTTCCTCTTTTCATAAATGAATTCTACCAGCACAATCCTAAAAGTTAACTTTTTCTGATTTCTTGAGCAAAGAGGGAAATGTAAACAAGAAATGGAAATACAGAGTGAAGTGTGTTCTGTAGTTACATTAGAAAGTGAACTGCTATTCATCACATAATTGAGAGTTTTGATAACTGAACTTTACTGAAGATTAAAGCCATAAAACACCAAGATATGTGAGAGAATGAAACAAGACACCTATCAAAGCAGTCTAACCAATCATCAAGACCCTATCAGATTGTGCCTCTGTACAGGTCAAATCAAATGACAACCCGATCTGGGTCACAAAGTAGCAGAAAATTGTGATCAAAAAAAAAATCTATATTCAATAAACCATGTTTATTCCAAATGACTTGTTTTCCCGCCAAAATGTGTGTTGAAGATTTTATAAATTCCAAATGTTAATAACACATCCAACGGACACAACTTAAATGATGACTAACATTTTGGGGGGGGGTTCAAACAGTGACTATTGTAGGAAGTGAAAAAAGTTAACAAAACTAATGGATGGATGAATAAAAAAACTTACATTTTGCTATAGATGATTTCTATTTACATTATTAATCTTCATTAATTGTTCCAACTTTCGCAAGTTATTTCTTGTATTTGTAAAAATTTAACAAGAAAAACACAAAACAAATAATATTTTTAAATTTTATACAAAATTGTACTTTTCAGAAACATAAAAGGTATCTTCAATTTGTTGATAACTATTAAACACAGTTATAAATTGATTTTGATAAAACAAGTCTATCAGCCACTCTTTGTCCTCTCCTTGTTCCCCTCGACAATAAACATGCCAGAGACTTGGCATTATTTTTATTTATTAAAAGTAACATACCGACAACAGAGAGCAAAGATCAGACAACTTTTTGCGTTGCTAGTTACCGCGTCAATGCTGCGTACTACATTCATTGGTCGCTCCCCCCTGAATCCATTCCATCCACCCACTAAATCTCACCATTGTTAGTTGCTGGGAGATGCAAAATCGGGATCTTTACGAACCAAAAAAATTGACACAGAGTACGTCTTTCCCAATGAGAGAAACAGGGCACAGGAAAACTGAGTAATTTATATAAATAAGCTAAAATTGCAAATAACAAAAATTCTAAATTCACATCCAATTGTTGAATTAAGTTTAATGAAACATTTTGCACACACAATATGATTTTTCAAAAACAACATTTGTGGTGCAGTATTTGGTCTGTTTTCATGTATTTTTTTATTTTTTGAAGTCGAGTTTTTTGGATAAATGAACATAATTCCCTATTATTGATCAAAATTTTGAAACAATTACAAAAAAAAAAAAATTATATGGGTTTTAAAAAATTTGAATGGTGATAAGTCAACTTTGGTGCTAGAAAGGTTTAAACACCAATTATAAAAAGTTCCCATCAGTGAAGAATCAGTATAAACCTGAATATGTAAAATGATTGAAACCCTACTGTGAACCCCTCCAATCAATCCTCACTGCAACAGTAGATGCAAAGAATTCTGTTATCAGGACAAACAACTACACTGTCAACCAGCCTCTTCACCTAGTAAAGCTACCATGCTTTGCTATCAACAAAACAGTTAGCATTTAGATTGGGTTGGCTCATACACACACCAGGGCTGCCAAGCAAAAAGATCAAAGCACACAGTTCAGCTATCTCACGGTTTCCACACATGAACATGGTTGAAACTTTGATATCAGTTTGTTTTTAAGCCATACTTCACAATCATCGTGATTTTGATTCTTTTGTTTAATCTTTTAAACATCAACTCAACATTTATCAGTTACGATTATACCACACATAAACCTGCATCAATTAATTTAGATATTTTTTCTAAAATTTCGATTAGAATTTGTTGGATATGTGAAATCACATTTGGTGTATAAGAAATTACAGTATTTATAAATTCCTAAATTTGCCAAATGATGCACCAACATTTTTGGGATTAAATTGTGGCATCTCAAAGCATTTAAAAGTTTTGTTCTATATTACATATTAATATTAATTATGTGTTTTTGAGTTGAATACACAATAGTAATCTGTTAAAGATAGGAAGAACTACAAGAATATGCATGTCATTTGAATTAATAGTATAACAAAAATTCAAAGCACATCTAATATTTCACGGAATGAATAATAATTTTTGCATGATCAAAACAACAACTTTTTTTCTGATTTCACAGCAAATGTGTTTTTTGGGAAGAAAATTGGCATTATCCGTACAATAAAAAATAATGCACCAGATAAACTGATCTAAAAACTCAATTCACTCACCAATTGGCTTACATTTATACCACCACCCCCACCCCAGACAGCTGGTAAAACACTATCATTGGGAGCAAATGGTAGTAAATTAATGTAAAACAAATTTATTAATTAAAACTGAACATTTAGTACTAACTTCTGATAACATCAAGTTATAGACCTTTACACAAAACGTGTGCAAGTACAGTGTGAGAAAATGTTCAATGTTTTCATGGACACACAGTGGATTCCATGGTAGCCACGGTGGCAATGTCGGCCATATTGGATTGCAAGACAAACCAGTATGGTTTAAGTTCAGGACTGCAGTGAAACAACAATAGCCAGTATTCTGTTCAGTATATTAAACATAATCCAA